ACCCATTTTTTGTGTCCTTATGTTTCATAGCAAAAGCAAGTCCAGCTGTAATCACACTGCCTGCAATTCTTATGCCATGTTTCATCTTTTCATCCTTGACTCTCTCAATTGGGGCAGAAAAGAATGGTGGGTTGAACAAAAATGCTTCAAGAAATACTCCACTCTTTGCCATATTCTTCCCAGCAAGCATTGCCATGGCCGACCCCAGTGAATGGCCGGCTACCCAAACACCGCAATTTCCAAATGTCGCCACCACGTGTCGAACAGCTTGTATGGCTATCTCAAAGCGAGATGTCCCGTGAAGACCATTTTGAATAATGTGGACGTCCAATTCAAGGTCTCGTGAAAATGCATCCCCCTTGGTAATAGTGCCTCGAAAAGCGACAATATATCGAGGGGCTTGTTGTGCCGAAGGGATGTTTTCTGATGCAGTGCAACTGAGTTCATAGATTGCACCAAAGACAGAAGAATCGGCATCATCAATCAGTTGTCTGTACAGCTGAAAATTGAAGAATTTCCACCAAGGAGGGGCAAGGGCTTCGCTTCCTTCCCGCTTCTCCTGACGATCCCACTCCAAAATGTAGACACTCTGAACCAAACTAGCTGCAACAGACCTTCGGTGACTGAAATTTGTCCTGCCAAAAACAGCATATAGGATCAGGTGCATGTGTGGCTAAACTAAAAAAATTACTTGAGAATTTACTTATAAGTAAATATGTTTAACTAAACTTGATATGTTGGTTAAAAGTTGGAAATAAGTAGTTACACATTTTGAAAGTAACCCCTACCTTACTATTTAAATAACTATTTTTCCTTAAAAAAAAAAAAGTAACTTATTCAAACATGTCTGGAAACAAAGTTATTGAAAAATAAGTTTAACTATAAAGCATAACCAAATATGCAGCAGCTCTTTAATTGTAACTATTAATTTTTATTCTTAACAGAGACTTTTTCTTGGTAAAATTTTGAAAGAGCGGTTTGCAGGCATGGTAGAGAATTTCCAACACAAAATGTTGCTTTATCTCAGACTGAAAAAAATTTCTGTAAGTTATATCAAGAATTGAATATGAGGAGGAGGCACTTTTAGATCGTGTACTTAAACATCGCGATTCTCAACTGGTCATGTATCTTTAAATGCTTTCACAATTTTGGTTTAAATATTCATAAGGATACCATTCGTTCTTTAGGGCATCCTCAAGATAAGTTTTCAGATACCGCTATACAATTACACCAGTTTTTGCTCGGTTGTCAAACTCAAATGATGTCAAGCAGATTAGGAAATGGCTGCAAGTTTTCAGTGTGCCATATTTGCAGCGTAATAAGTCCCCCGATTATTTATCATTACTATTATCTTTACTTTACTTTTTTTTAATTACGAATAGCAGATTCTTAAATGCAATCTCTCTACAATCCATATCCTTAACATTTCAGATACTCATAAACATTACAAAGTGTAAGTGTCATACCAGTCAACTGTTGTCAGATGCAAGGGTCCTGAATGATCGAAATTTTCTCCCTCTGAGCCCATTATTTATTATTAACTTTGTACTTTTCTCTCCTCAGATCTGCACAAATTTATATGTAAAGATGTCACAAGCACTCTAATCTAGTATAGATTTAATAAAAGGTTGGTCAATCATAAGCCAAATCATAACCAAGAGAGGAAAGTATAACTTTCCTATTAGTACAAAGTATATATAAAATATCAACTATCAATAAATCAAGTCTTATTTCCAATAAAAGTGAAGTTCGCCACAACAAAGTGCTTCTCGCAACTCGGTTCGACCATGGGTCCGTTTGGCACTTTTGCTTTCGGTAAAAAAGTTTTTGAAAGAAGCTACCTTAATTTTTGTTTGAAAATTAATTTTTGAAAGAGTTTCATATTCCGAAAGTAATTTTAGAGAAAGTCATACCAAAAGCTCTTCTAATTAGAAGAATCATTCATAAAATTAGTCAAACGGGTTCAAAAACAGCTTTTAGATCTTAAAAACTCATTTTGGCTTTTCAAAAGTTATGCCAAACGGGCTCTATATATACTCAAAACTCTAATGAAATCTAACATCTTGCAACCAAATCTCTCTCTTCTAACTTGTCCAACTAGGCCCATTGTTCTATAAATTAGTGAATTTTTAGGCATGCACAAAACATATAAAAAACCATCAAGCCATTCCTCTCTTAATTTATCCTTAACTTGTATACCACATCAGGTCGGACTCGTAGGAGTATATCCCCATTTCTTATTTTGATCTGTTGTATTATGATTACACATTCATCTTAATATATTTGTTTCTACTATATTCATCTTCTAAGCTTTGTCCTTCAACATCCAATCCTTCAATACTGAACTTGATGAGTATCACGGAAAGCAAGCTAGCAAGGATCCTTTATATGTTTAGAAGGGGCCGATAACAAGGTCAAAAGCAAAAAAAGATCAAGGGAGCCATGCAAGGACTTGTCTAAGCTACGTGGGCCGAGTGTTCAAGTTCAACAAGTAAGATACCAAGTTTCGAGATGAGCGTGAAAGAAGAAGAACCAACCTTGGTACAGTTGATTCAAGCAAAGGAGGAAGAAGTGGAGCCGGGAGCCTAGCTAGAAAGCAACGCACACATATTGCTTTACATTTTCGCTTGTGTGAGCCAATAAATTTCAAAACACGAGAGCAAATTCCGTGGAGCGTTATACATCGTACAAAATTGATCCACATGAATTTAGTTTTCCGTTTTGATTAGAACTCTATTTATTTAGTATTTTCTTGATGTTTTACCAGTTAATTAGGTTTGTTTGAGTCCTCATATATATAAGGTTTTATTCATTACAAATAAAGAACAAATTATTTTGAAAGATTAATTATAAAGTGAGAATTCGCTTTCAATCTTGTTCTTAATAGACCTATCCAGGTTTTATTAAAAATTTTCAATCTTTGTGACGTTCAACCTTTTAAACCTCAGTTCTTGATTCAAGAAATCATTGGGTTAAGGTTCTTCATCTACTTGTGACGTTATATATATATATATATATATATCAAATTTTGAATGGGTTCCAGCATACATCATGCAACAGGGTTCACATAAGAAGTATAATTCATCTAATAACCATTTAAAAACTTCTAAATAAAATTTTCCTGTGAACTTTAACAGCATAAGGACCTAAGCAGAAACTCGACACAAGCCTATAGTAATAATCATCGCCACCAGACCTTACACTTGCGACTGCTTAATCATATATCTCTCTTTTTTCTTAAATATTAAATAAAACTTGATTTTCTAGTAGAACCTAACACAGCTCCTGTAAGAACTCTATCATTTGCCTTTCTAAATCAATAAAAATAATTGGAAATTATACTTCTTTTCAACATGTTTTTCCATCCATCTTCAAAGTACATAAAGATTTCCATAGTAGATCTTCCCAACATAAAATTAAACCGATACCTTTTCATTACCTCTTAGCTACATATCCCACATCTCTGTCTTTCCTGAAAGCTTCTAGCATCATTTTTAGGAATCACAAAGAGTAACCAAATAAAAGTTTACACTGTTCTAACATGAATTTCGATCCCAGCATAATAACTTGATAATGGTGTTCAACTTTTAGACGTTTTGTTCAATCAAAGCACTAGGTCACCAAAATTATTTTCTAACTAAGAACAAGCATTATTTTTCAGAAAGCTCATACATTCATACATTTTTTATCTTTTATTTTTGAATATTACAGTTCCATAGCTAACATCATAGTACGCATTTAGTTTCCTTCGCAAAATAGCTCGTGAGACAGAAGTCACAGAACTTAAACTTAATCTAGTAACTTTCGTATTGGTGGAATGTCCCATTTGACTTTACCTTCCAAAACAATCCAGCAAACAAAATCAATCAAAAAATTTAGTCTCCACTTTTTTCCTATGAATCACCGGCCCTCTTATTGGAGCTGTGTGTCGTGTTAGTTGACAATACCTGAAGACACGTAAACAACATGCAACGTGGTGTATCGTGAGTGAAAAGTTACATGAACTTTCTTTCTAATTTTAACTATACACATGACACTACACTTATCCAACAAGCAATGTGGTGGATTACACGTGAAAAGTTCAACCAACTGAAGTCGAATTTTTTTTTATGCCAACTATCAATTTTTATTTCCCCACTAGTAGTAATATATGGATTAACTCATAGTTATTTATATCTAACAAATAGCTACGAATCAGTTTAAAGGACTTCACCAACAAAAACCATAAACTAAAAAGGATTTGTTGAAAATAAAATTAAGAAATAAAGATATACTCTATAAATGTAAATAATTTAAATTAATTTATGTTGAAAAATCATGTGTCTACTTGCCCATGTCCATTCTTCAAAGTTTCAATGTAAAATTTCATGCTTAACTTTTCAATTATTTCCGTTTCGACAAGAAACGTTGTCCTAACAACATTTTTCGAACAAAAAAAAACTTTGTATCAATCCCTCCAGATTTTTCACCCACTGCCATTGCCAACCCCCACTGCCCACAACAAAATATTTTCATTACATCAACCAAAACCCAATACAAAATACCTTTTTTCATGTAAATAATTACAACGGAAAATATTTTTCCTTCAGACAAGCCGAGTATCAAATTCTACTACTAAACAACCAACGGCAAGCAACACACATGAGTCATAACTAGAATCTGGGACCAAAGAGAATAAACTAAAAACTAATTAATATTAATAGACAGTAACATTTCGATATTTAAATTAATAATACAAAATAATAAAATAAAATAAAAACCTTCAATGATTCAAGAAAGATATATAAACACTGCTAGCCTTCCAAAATTAATTCCGACGAAAAATTACAAAATTGGAATACCTTTACAGAATGTTGATTCAAAATTGAAGGGAAGATGAGATCTGAATAGTGTTCTCGGTTTGTCAATTTTTTTCCTTTGCGTGTGTATGATTTTCTCTGTTTTCTGTCTTTATCAAACTTTGATAAAGAAACTTTGCGAAAGGGCGTTTTAAACATAGCTTCTCTCTCGGATTCGAGCGAATATTATTTAGGGGGATTTGATAAAAAAGTCTAGTCAAATAATGATTTTGATAAAATAATCTTTCTTTAATGTTTCTTGGTCAAATGACCTTCATTTATAAAATACAATAAACAAATAATGTCAAATATCTAAAATATCCTCATCATAGAAAATACCCCTTTCAATTCAATTAAATCCCTCAATTCATCTACAAAATGCATTAACCTGTTTTCCCTGTGATTTCTTCTCTAAAATCTTGATATTCATTGTATTTTTCTTCTATCCTCTCCAACATTGTGAGCATTTGAACAAGAATTTTATTATCTATATTATCTACATTGAGATTTCCACTATATTTAAAGAAAAAA